TTTTATATTTTTGCTGTACCATTTTCCAAGATTGTTTTACTTATTTTACATTTTGCTGAAAAACCTATGATACTTTCTATTGTTACTCCATATAGTGTGAAAACATGCCCCGTTATTGGAGCAATTTTTCCTGGAAAATGTCCAGTGGAAATGTTCTGTGGAGCTTTGTTTACATTTACATTTACATTTATTCATTTAGCTGACGCTTTTATCAATTGCTATATATGTCAGAGGTTGCACGCCTCTGAAGCAACTAGGGGTCAATTGTATTGCTCAGGGACACATTGGTGTCTCACAGTGGATTCGAACCCGGGTCTCTCACACCAAAGGCATGTGTCTTATCCACTGCGCCATCACCACCCTTTTTTGTACAGTATATTCAAGTTTTTAACATGAAACTGAATTTCAATAATAAACCCACCCTCTGTCACTGTGGGTTGCAGCAAGACAGAGATTAATTTATAAGAGTAATTTATGTAATCAATTACGTCAATGCAATGTTCCAGGCCCTACACTTAACACAGATGAGAACGGACAACTGATAACACAAACTGAGGGCTACAAAGGGAGCTAAATGAAATGCAGGTGACACTAGTCAGTAACTATAGCAACCAATGAGCACATAATAAGTAACCAAGGAGACAGAGAAGGAAAACAGGAACAACTAAACAGAACATAATCGTGATATTACCTCCCCCTCCCGGAAGGCGCGTCCTCGCACCATAAACAGAAAACAAAGTCCAACGGAGGAGGGAGGGAGGGAGGGGGTTCTGGAGGAGGATGAGGAGCTGGCAGAAGGAGACACCAATTAGGAGGGAGAAGCCAGAGAGGAAAGGATGGAGGGAGGAGCCAGAGTGGAGACAATGGTAGAAGGAGGCAGGGATTTACCTTGAACAGAGCCATCAGAATGAAGGCCCATGGTGGAACTGAGGGAGGGAGGAGCCAGGGTAGTGCTAGGAGCCTGACTGACTGAGGTGGAGCCAGGAGAGGTAGAGACTCAGACAGAGCCGAGGAGATGAAGACCCAGGGCGACAGCGATGGAAAGAAGGGCCAAAGCGGAACCGCTGGATCGATGGACCGAGGTGGAGATGAGGACTCTGCAAACTTAGGTGGAGCTGGTGGGAGTGATGACAACGGTAGAGCCAGAGGGAAGGAAGAGCCCTGTGGAGCCAAAAGGGTGGAGGGATGAGGCGTAGCCGGAGGCCTGGAAGTCTGCGGTGCAACCAGGGTGATAACTGACCAAGGTGGAGCCGGAGGAACGAGGGAGCCCAGCAGAGCCTGAGGGATGAACTACCACAGTGGAGCCGAGGGGGCATGGCACCAAGGTGGAGGTGATGGGTCGACTGGCCAATGTGGAGTCCAGGGCTCAGAGGCTCGATGTGCAGCCAGGGCATCAACACGCTAAGGAGGAGCTAGAGACCGAGAAGCCTAAGGCTAATCCGAGCAGTCGATGGGGAGCCATCAAAGGAGGAGCTGAAGGGAGACAGCAGAGGTGGGGCAGAGGAACTGGATGAGATCAGCAGAGGCGAAAGGAGTGGGAGGCTGGGTGGGACCATCAGTGACCACAAAGACTTGGTGCAAACAGAAGCTGGTGATGGGCGACAAAATAGACTTGGGCGGCAACAAAGAAGACACGGAGCTGGGTGGAACCAGCGCAGATGAAGAAGACTTAGAGCTGAGTGAAGAAAGGAGGATGAAGGTTTGACGGGACCAGCGGAGAAGGAAGGACTCCAGATGGGACCAGGACATCCAGACAAGGGCAGGAACAAAGGTGGGACCTGGCTTGATGACAATAAGCCACTCCAGACAGTCCAACTCCACCATTATACCCACTGGAACGGACATGGGTACCGGCTCATACACTTGGTCAGACTTGGCTGGCTCTGGGTCTGCGGTGGGTTCCGGCTTTAAGTCCGTGGTGGGCATTGGCAGTCTCTATGGGACTGTGGCAGGTGTAAGGAGGGGCTGGACTAGGGGATTATATTTCTCCCACTGTAAAAGAGGACCAAGTCAACCACAGAGCAATGTCAATGTACTCTGCCAGGGTCCAGCTGCAATCTCCTCCTAACATCAGTAGTTTAATGTTCTCGTCCAGTCCGCTCCAAAAGCTGTCATCAAGGTGCAAAACTCTTCCTCATAACTCTCAATATCCTGTCCATTTTGGCAGAGCGAGAACAGTATGTCATCTGGCTGAAGAGAAACTACTGCTAGATTCAATATTTTAGGTCCGTACTTCTGTCATGTGGGTTGCAGCAAGAAAGAATTTGAGGCAGGATCTAAATGCAGCAATAAAACTTTAATAAACAATAAAGAAAAACAACAAATATGCAGAGATTATCCACATGCAGGAGCAGAACAATCCCTTAACAGATAAGAATGGATAACTGAGAACAAACTGAGGGCTATAAATACACAGGGAAAACAAATGGAGCTAAATGAAACACAGGTGACACTAGTCAGTATCTATAGCAACCAATTAGCACATAATGAGTAACCACGGAGACAGAGATGGAAAACAGGAACAACTAAACAGAACATAATCCTGACACCCTGGGATAGTATATTATGGTTTTCTCAAAGTGGGTAAATGTTTTCTTTGTGAGTAAAAATCATAATGTTTGCCAGTCCAAAGCAGCAATTTTCCAGAAGTCAAATCAGCGATTATCACAGAAGTCATCAGATTTCCTTCTTTGGGCTGTTTAATATAAATGTATTTCTTATATGGCTGTCTAGTGTGTAGGTTGTGACCTTAAGCTCTCTTCCAAAACACACACAAAAACAAACAAACACAACTTAAATGTTATTAAGCATAAGCATGTGCAAATACTCTCTCCATCTAGAGGAAAGTTTAGTACATCAACAAACTGAAAAGCCACAAATGTCATTACTGCGATACACACCCGGGGTGTCCCGGGTGTACTAATACTTATGCCGCGTTCCAGGCAACCTGTAACCCGTGTTTTTCCAACTCGTAACTGGGAGTACATCGTTCCAGGCAACCTGTAACCCGTGTTTTTCCAACTCGTAACTGGGAGTACATCGTTCCAGGCAACCTGTAACCCGTGTTTTTCCAACCTTATACCCGTGAAAGTGCACTGGAACGGCAGTCAAACCCGTGACTTCCCACCCGTGAATTCGTACAAGATCGATGAACTCCCAGTTACGAGTTGAAAAAACACGGGTTACAGGTTGCCTGGAACGCGGCATTACTTCCTTATAACTTATGACTTCCTTGTATGCCATTTAATGAATCTATCTGCAAATGGGCAATTTGGGCAAATGCTCATATATTTTGTTTTACACACACCAAAATATCCAAACTTGCATTTTATGTTTGACATAAAACAAAGCAAACAGAAACAGTGCTAAAACCTATTAGCAATGCTTTTGACAGTTCATCGCTTTCATCATAATGTATGAAAAGCAACTCCCTTGATTGAAACATCTGTGTTTACCATTGGGCAGCAATATTTGAAATAGTTTCCAACATTACGAGCAATCGTACAGTGGGTGGAAGAATTGAGAGATGAAATGCTAAGTGATTGCTGAAAATGAGCCCATTAACTATGGCAGATTTACCTCTCAGGCTATATATTTTGCAGGCTCATCACAACCCTCTGATTAACACTGGGACGAGCAGGGAAGAGGAAGAAATGGGATCAGAATTTCAAAAGATTCCTGTGCTGTACGACATCTCTAACCTGAGGCGAACATTTAGCATGCTGTTCTTATTAGACAGCATTCCTTCAGCTCACATCAAAGACAGACTCTGCAGATATTGTCTCGCAATCGGTCGTACCGAATTACACAGGATTGATGCATTGCTGTACAGCAAAGAGAAATGTGAATGGAATACTTGAAGAAGTATTTGTGAATTTTGTTGAGTATGTGGTGTTACAGTACTGTACTTCCACTGAATTGTATCTTCACGCAAATGTGTTTTACTATTGCTCTTTTATACCTCAGGATAGTTATGTTGCATTTATTTAGCAAGTATATATTTTGCCTCAGATGTTTCTCAAAAAATCCCTTTGGCAAAACTAAAATGAGACAACAATTGACATACACTGAGAGTACAGAGCATTAACATCGCAGTACACATCCTTGTGGATAGCATAGCTCAGACAAAAGGACAAGTTCATATCAAAATCTCTGGCTTTGATATCTTGGGAAATCTGAGCATGGTTTGAAACATCCTCAGGAGAAAAATCTTAGAAGTAGTAGTAGTGTTCCTGTTGCTCAAACAGTAGAGCATAGCTTTAACAATGCCAAGGTCATGGATTCAGTCCCCAGGGTAAGAAAGAAATCGTAAAATGTGTGCCTTGGATAAAAGCATCTGCCAAATGCATAAATATAAGACGTAAGGAAAAGCCTACATTTAATCATATTGCTGTTGAGGATAAACTATTGAGATATTAACGTCTTTTCTATAGGAAAGAAAAACTGTTCCTTTAATAGAAAACAACCACCTAGTCTAATTCTCTTAAATGTCACAGCAGGTCACCGTGTTAATAAGCCACTCCCACTAGTCTCAACAGCTCTACAAATATGCTAAAATTTGCCACATATGTAAACTTCGAATGTACAGGTTCAAAAACTCTGACAAGTATTCAGCATCTTTTAATGATCTATGGACAAATAAAACCCACTGACATGCCCTTTCATTCATAAGTGAAAATTAAGGGCTTCATCTCTTCAGAAACATCATTTGACACTGCAGTAAATCAAATCATTTGGCAATTTCCAGCATTTCATCCGAACTCGAGTCACACTAAACAGTGTGAGTATCCTGGAACAACAGCTGTCACTGGGGCGGTACTTTCAAAAGATACTAATATGGTTAAATAAATGTACAAGGTGTTCCCTCTGAAAGGGTATCACCCTAGTCACAGATGTTGTACCATTTTTTCAGAGAGTTTATCCTTGGCCTACACTGTTCCACAAGTTATAACAGGAATGGACGGTATCTACCAGGGTTTTTATAAAACAGCTTTGCTTGCCTCAAAAACTTCCTCGTCCAGGATTCTGGTGCCGAAGACAGCGATGCCATCTGTGTTAATGATTGAATGGTCACTTCTGCTGAGTGGTTTAGAGATCTTCTTCTTACAGTCCACAATCATTGTAACGGTCTTCTTTTCGATGCTAATAGCCACACGGTGCCACCTGTTGGGGAGGAAATACAACAAACAAGAGCCATGAAGATTGTGATTGTTTAGTTTGTAGCATGAACTATTGTCTGCTTTCACTTGCATGCTAAAATGCATGTTTGGGTCTTTATACATTTACATTTATATAGATAAAAAAAAAAAAACTGCCTGCCATTGAGGGAGGTTTGTGTTAGTACAGGATGTTTCTAAATAAAATATTTTAAAGGAAAAGACAATCAGCACTCTCTCTGTCCATGCACATTTTCTCAACACTGTCTCTCATGTTGACTCAGTTATAAATATTCAAAAGCTGTTTTTGTTTAATACCATTTGTTTTCAATGAAATGAAAAAAGGTCCTTATTACATGAATTGTGAGAATACACCATTGTTTTATCACATGTAAATATCAATGTGGCTAATCAAAAGCACGGAAGCTTACTGCCGTTCTCGTATCCTTTTCAAGTAAATGTTTGCTTTGCTTGATTGGTTGCATATGGCTGAATATTAACATCACACAATTGTCCTACTTTAATTATATCTATATAAATAAATAAATGAATAGGCAGATGGAAAATAGTACCAATAATAAACACAGTGGACTAAACTGGCTATTAGGAAAACTTCATTCGCAAATTGCATAACCAATCCAAACACATTCAACGGCTAGTTGATGAAAACTGTACTACAGCTTGTTAAACACACACACACACACACACACACACACACACACACACACACACACACACACACACACACACACACACACACACACATACTGGTACGGGTGGTTTATAAAGACTTTTCCCCCTAAAAAGTTCCATCCTGGTTTATGGGGACCCACCTTTCCCTTTGTCATAGAGATTAATAATAAATATTAAACTGCTCCTTATGGCATGGGGTAAAAATCTGACTGCTCAGAATTTAATTCTAATGAAACAGTCTGGTAATATGAAGACCTGACAAACTAAAGCACTGTAAGGACAGGGCAGGAGTGGGCGTTTCCTGATTTAATTATGATTTATGAGGACTACCCTGGTTTATCTGGACATCACTCACATACATACACACACACACACCTGACCCTTAATTATGAGGACAACCCCGGTTTATCTGGACATCTCACACATACACACACACACCTAACCCTTAATTATGAGGACTAACCTGGTATAACCTGGACTAACTTTACCCATGAGAGTGCCACATCACTTAAGTTTGTTTCAATACCAGCATATAGAAAAACAAAACAAGAAATTATCAGCAATTGTTCAACCTGGCTTAAACTTTAAGAGAGATTTCAGAAAACTAACCTGAGTTTGTAATGTGAGATTTAGCAGGTGTGAAGTGAGTGAAGAGCAAAGAGAGAAGAAGGAAAGTGAAATACGGAAATATTTTAGCTTTAAAAATTAAGAAATTAAAAAACCAAAAGGAGAGTTTACTATTTAACCATCACTGACAAATGCATTCACCCACAAATATTTTTCATAATTGAACCTTGAATGTCAGTCTTAATTTATTCATTAGATTAAGAAGTTTTGTCTAAAGATAGTTTTGAATAAAGCTAAATATTTCCAGTTGATTGGGTTTGGGTTTTGTTAAAGGTGACCTATAATTCAAAATTGAATTTACCTTGGTATAGTCAAATAACAAGAGTTCAGTGCATGGACATGACATAGAGTGAATCTCAAACTGGACTGTTTTCGCGTTCTCATTTAATTCACGTTTATGAAAAACACCCCTGAAAAACGGTCGGTTCTCCACACAATACCGACTGTGACGCAATAGTCGGGATCATTAATATGTACGCCTCCAAATATTTGCATAATGCCAGGCGGAACTGCCCAGCCGAAGCATGGCAGTTGCTCAGTGTGGATGTACACATGAACACAAAAGTATTTTTTAGCTCCTTTATCTGAGCCTCTGAAGAAACAATGGGTTAATTTTATTTTCTCTGGAAATTTCCAAACATTTCACCGACTGTTTCCTCAACTTGGGCCAATACAGAGCTGGCCTCGGATCGAGCTACCAAGCAACACTTTCTGATACGTAATTGTTCAAGTTCAGACAGGTAATCTTTCTCTCAAAATCGTTCAATACTGTTTATGCATCAGTAAGTCAAGCCAGTGACTAAAATATCAGCTTCACATCGTTTCTTTTAGTAGGATGAAAATAATCGTATTTAAATTGTGAACAAATTATATACAGAAAGAACAATCTTTCCACACAGCGCGAGTTTATCTGGACACTTGCCAAACTCGTTATGAAATCAATGACGCACGTTACTGCACAACGAAGCTCTTACTGTATTTACATCATCGTGTTTGCATTGGTGAAAGCAGAGAGAGAGTGCAGAAACTGCTTTGCAATGATAAGATCTTCACTCTCGCGATCAACACTGTCATCTGCTCAATGCTCATCACGGCAACATTTTATGTGATGGGAATAGATCTAAATACTTTAAAAACATCTCACGATTCGTTAATCTCTATAGCTGTTATAGTAAAAACGTATAATAGCAGTAGTAAAAGTATTCGGGAGAGAGTTTCACATGTAATGCGTAGCTATTTCATATGCAAGCATGTCAGCCAATCACAGCAGTGGCCGCGGTTACACTGAATCCCACAGCAGACACGCCCCTTCAAACAGAGTGTTCAAATCAGAGGCTAAAAGCAGGCTAGGAAAAATGCCATTTATTTCTAAATTATGAATATTTTTTATCTAAAAAACATACTAACATTATAAGGGTAACCCAGGAAACATTATAAAATAATAATAAAAAACATTCAAGGGCACCTTTAATGTAAAAAGAGAAGATTGTTCAAGACTTGTTATTAGTATCTAAATGAACATTCCTGACCATTTGGGTTTAACTGGACATCAGTAACCATATGAATCATGCATACACACACACAACCCTAACTAACCCTTGATTATGGGGACATTTTGGGTTTAACTGGACCTCACTCACACACACTCTCAAACACACACAACCCTAACTAACCCTTGATTATGGGGACATTTTGGGTTTAACTGGACCTCACTCACACACACTCTCAAACACACACAAACACCTAACTAACCCTGGATTATGAGGACATTTTGGGTTTAACTGGACCTCACTCAAACACACACTCTCAAACACACACAAACACCTAACTAACCCTGGATTATGAGGACATTTTGGGTTTAACTGGACCTCACTCACACACACACACACACAACCCTAACTAACCCTTGATTATGGGGACATTTTGGGTTTAACTGGACCTCACTCACACACACTCTCAAACACACACAAACACCTAACTAACCCTTGATTATGAGGACATTTTGGGTTTAACTGGACCTCACTCACACACTCTCAAACACACACAAACACCTAACTAACCCTTGATTATGAGGACATTTTGGGTTTAACTGGACCTCACTCACACACACTCTCAAACACACACAAACACCTAACTAACCCTTGATTATGAGGACATTTTGGGTTTAACTGGACCTCACAAACACACACAAACACCTGACTAACCCTTGATTATGAAGACAAACTGGGTTTAACTGGACCTCACTCACACACTCTCAAACACACACAAACACCTAACTAACCCTTGATTATGAGGACAAACTGGGTTTAAATGGACATCACTATTAACTCCACACATAGCAGGAGTACCTGTATTAGAGTTAACCATACTAAACCAAATCAACTATTCTACATTAAAGAGTGAATTCACAAATTATTGTGCATCTTTTTGCTGCCACTAAACCTGTAAAAGTAATACGCACACCTAAGGAAATAGTGCTACAATGTGCTGTTGCTATATCAACCAACATATACACATGTGGTGCAAAATGAACCTGGTTGGAGAAAATTCAGTGATCAAAGATCAGCAAGTTTTACACTTCATAGAAGACTAGTTAAAGGGCAATTAGATGAAGAAATGCAACTAGACAGCCAATAAAAACTAACAAAATTAAACTGAAAGGGCAATTTTTATTTTGCAAATGGTAAAAAAAGGCTCAACAACTGAGATCTAATAAGGCCATTATTAGAGATGCACAGATTGATCGGCTTGGGACCGGAATTGGCCGATTTTCACGTGATCGGCCGGTCAGTCTGACATATGCCGATTTTATACCGGTCAAACGCACTCGGGCGCAGCATGATTAACATCAGCATCACACGTGCACACGGAACGCACATGTAGAAAACCTCGTGAATTACGGCCGTTTCACACCGCAAGCGTGAGAGGCGCGTATTTTTTTCGGCGTGCATGTTAATCAGTGAATGCATCACACCGGGAGCGGGAGCAGAGCGTCAAGCAGGAGCGTCGCGTGAGCAGCAGTGAAGCGGTTTCGGCACAGAGTCTATTTTTGCTGCGCTGCTCACACTCAATTAAAGTGAAAGCACACTTTTTTTGATGGGCAAAATAAATATGATTTCACACAAAAAGTGCCCAAAATGCACAGAATTTGCATGTCTAGTGTGTTTTAACAAGAACTGGAGTAGGCTATGTCAGAAAAGAAAATGAAGAAGACTCAAAAATATTTATAGAAAATTCACCCATTTAAACTTGTTTTTATTATTCAGTTTGGGTAGAAGTATATGGTGTTTTATAAAAAAAAAAAAATAGAAAATAAATATTTGTGTGTGCTGTAAAGTGGTTAGAAAAAATGAAATCGGAATCTGCTAAAATCGGTATCGGCAGGTCAAACTCGGAAAAATCGGAATCGGCCTAGAAAATTGTAATCGGTGCATCTCTAACCATTATGGGACTAAAGTGCATGAGGGAGTGTGCCTCAAAATGACCTCAGCAACACACTGGAAATAAAACCAAATTAAATTGCCTTCCAGTAAATGCATGTATTTGTACATTTCTTTCAAAACAGTGTTTTAATAAAAGTAAATAAAAGGATGTCTTGAACACTCTTCTGGCCCAACAAAACTTTAGAGAACAAAACCCACAGACATTAAAGGTTGTATCAGCGATTTCAGGCCCAAATATAAATGA